GTGGAGAACTCCGGCCTCGCCCCAGAGCAGGATCCTTCCCCTCCCTGCTTGCTGGCTGGGCGCCCTCCTGTCCACAGCACTAGGCTTGCTGCCAGCATCCCACCTTCACTGTCTTGACTTATTCCCCCTCTTACAGCTCTTTCCTCAGACTTGGGCTGTATCCTGCACTCAATCTTTGTGGAGGAGAGGTTCTTTATTTCTAATTCTTAGTTTCATTATCTTTCTTCCTAGCCGGTTCTCCCTGTCCATCTCCATCTCAGCTTTATTATATTTCTATTGATTGAATGAATGAATGAATGAACGAACGAACTTGGGCCCTCCCTTCTCCCCTCTTCCTCCTCCACCTCCCACTTCCTGCTTCATCTCTGTGACACTATACGTGTCTCCTCACATACACTTGTACAGGTCTCCCACCCCAGCCCTTAGTTGGGACCCTGCGAACTCCACAGTGGCAAACCCACCCAGAAGCTCTGAACTCCCAAAATTTCTCCCTTATAAAGTCAGGCGGCAGCAGACACCCAGGAATGCTGCTGCTGCCCATGACGCATGCTGGCTGTGGGCCCGCCTGCCTGCCCCCAGGCAGCCTGGAATGTGGCGGGAGCCAGGCACACAGGAGAGGGAGGGTGCCTGGGTGGATGGGGCTCGGACAGGTAGCAGAACCTGGGATGGTACCTCTCTTTCTGCTTCTCCCCGTACAGTTACTTCTGCTTGGGAGCTTTAGTGTGTCTTTCTGGAAAGTGGAAACCAAGCACTTATTCTAGAGGTGGGCTGCAGAGAGCTTTGGCAGCTTGGGCTTAGCACTGGGGATGAGGAGGCTTGAGAGCTCAGACCTGGCTCTCTGGACTGCTCTAGAGCCAGTGATGATGTTCTTGGAATCAGCCAGGATGGGGCAGAGAGAAGGAAGACGAACAGTAAGAACAGGAGGGTAGGAGGTGGGGGAGAAGCAGAGGCCAGGGTGTTTGAGGACTCAGAAGGGCAAGGTCTGTGGCAGGACCCTAGATTGTTGGAGCATCTATGCCTGAGGTGGACCTCTAGCCAACCTGACTGGGGTGGGGGTGCTGACGGGCACAGGCGCTCCCAGCACAAGGGTCTCTTTCTCCAAGAACCTGCTAGTGGACAGAGAAGGTCAGACATCATGTTGGGAGCAAGATTCATGCTTGTGGTCTCCCTGGGCAGGGTGCAGGTCCCCTTTGACACACACTCTAGGAGTGCCCCCTAGGGGCCAGGAGGTGCTAGTGACACTGGTACCCTGCCAGAAGGTAGGGGGACCTTAACCTAGGCTCAAACCCCTCAGGGCCCATCTCCCTTTCAAAGAATAGGATTAGCAGAGACAGACAGGTCCTCTGTACCCCAAACCCAAGGTCTCAGGAAGAGAGATGGAGCTGCCTGCCCTGGGGCCCAGACAGCAGTGCCCTGTTCTCGGAGAGGAAGGGTGGGAGGCTGGGAGACTTCTCCACCTTTAGCAAACCTCTCAGATGGGTTCCAGGCAGGAGGGGCAGGAACTCTCCAAGAACACACAGCCCCTTTCACTGAGCCAGACCCAGCCGAGTAACGGCCGGCGGGCACCAAGGAGCAGGATAGGCCTGGGCACAATCACTGCTCTGTCCTGGCAGCTCCCAGCCCACACGCGCGCACACACACAAACACACAGCCTTAGAAAAACCCTAAGTGCACACCCACCAGCCACCCATACACTTGCACACACATGCATATATGCATGTCTACAGCCCTGTGTACTGTGTGCCCAGGCATGCTGGCACTTGGCACTCCCCTTGCCCCACCCCAAACCCTTGGGGCATCCTGCTCCCACCATGCTGAGGACTTGGCACTACCCAAACAGCCCACACCATCTGCCCACTGCACACCCCTACCTGAGAGCCAGCTTTTGCCCTCCAGGACCTCCAGGACTAATCTCATAGACAGAAAGAGGAAGGGATGGGGAAGACTGCCCATTTTACAGAATGGTGACACTGAGGTCCAGACTCGGATCTAGAGAACAGCCCACACGGCTTCTACAGGCCTGCCCTGGTATTGTGTGGAAACATGCATAGGTCTCCCTGACCCTGATGTGTGAAGAACAGGTATCCTGGCCTTGCTGTTCCCAACCTAAAAAAAAAAAAAAGTCAGGCCACTAAACCTGGCTTGGTTTATGCTACTTTTTCCTCTGTTCTTCTGTCTTCTAGCTATCCTGAGCCTCCAGGGGATGAGAGGCAAAAACCCTCCTCTAACCCTCCATTGGAACCCTCTCTGTGCCTCTTTGCCAGTTTCTTTCTCACCACCCTCCTCTGCGCCTGCCCATTCCCCTTTCTCTTTGCTCCTCTGCATGACCCTCACCTCTCCCAGGAAGCCCTCCAGGATTGACTCCTGGTGCATCTCTCCTCTATTCTGCATCCTCTCTATAACCATCCCTACCCTGAGGAAAGGGATTCTGAATTTTCACAGCCTAGTAAGAGAGGCCGAAGGAGGAGTCTGAGAGGTGGGGGAGTGTCGATGTCAGAGTTTCCAAAGCTCTGTCCAGAGAGGCGTCAGAGGCCTCTGCTGGGGCAAGGGGGCTGCCTGGCCTGCATACTCCAGCAGCACAACGCAGCCTGTGTACGCCCTTCCCAGCCTGGGCCCACAGGAAACAGCAGGGCCCAGCCCCTCAATGGGCCCATTCAGACCCCAGCTCTCTGGAAAGTACCTCTGCTTCCTGCCACCCTCCTCCGTTGGCCTCAAGAGCCAGCAGAACAGGCTGCTGCTCGCCTCTGTGGGGAAGGGGCAGGAGGCAGGTGGTCCAGTGGTTAGGGCAGCCCCCCACATCAGTTCCTGCCTGGTCTGGAGCCCTGACCTTAACCATGCTCCAAAAGTTTACATCCAGCTTTAGTGAAAGGGAGTGTGAATTGGTAGATGGGGGTCACCTCAGCCTTGGGGAGGGCAGGTAGGTAAATGTTTAATAACAGGCTTCCCTCAGGAGAGAGTGCCCTGATTTACAATGTTTGCTTTTTTCCAGGGTGTAAACATTTCCACTGTGGGCAGCATCACCTGGCTTACAGAATTCCTGGAAATTTAGCAAGCAGCCCTGGGAGCCAGCCCCAATCCGCCACAGTGGGGGGTCCAGGCCACTGGGCCATGTGCCCCTACCCTCCGTGCTGTGGCTGCCCACAGATCAGTGGTTTGTGGTTTGTTCCTGAGTCAGTGTCCTTGCAGATAAGAACACTCTGATAGTAGCCCGCTACCCACCAGTTCCTGGCTCTGTCCTTGCCTGGCATCGAGATGGTTCTGCAGTTCTCATTTGATTCTGTTTGCTCCCAGACAGGGTTCTGGGGTTGCCAGCAAGTGCTAACTTGAGGGGGTTTTCATTATCAGTCTTGGCCATCCTTCCCAGCTGTGTTGCTGCCCTTAGGAAATACAAGTCTCAGGCTCCCGTGCCTGCTGCTGCTTCCTCAGGCGGATGTCAGCTGGCTGGAGCTGGCCAGGGACCAGCACCTAGGTGGCTGCTGCCAGAGTGTCCCTATCAAAGCCATAAGCCTTGGCTTACTCACGTGCGGTTCGGGGAGAACCCGCAGGGATGAATCACCCTTTTAACCCGTTCCCTTCTGCCTCCCAGCCCTGGATGTCTAGGGCCAGAGTCAAAATTGTATTTAGCAAAAGAATGTGTCGGTGGTGCAAATGGCAAAGCATTGATGCTAGCTTAAAGGTTAGCAGTTCAAACCCAGCCAGAGATGACTCAGGAGACAAGACTGGCAATCTGCTTCCAAAAAGGCCTGAGCCTAGTGCCAAGAAGCTGCGCTGCAATCATGAAGGTGCATGGTTTGAATACACCAACCGCTCTGTGGGAGAAGGTTGGACAGTCTCTTCCCCTGCAATTAACTGCTTCGATATAACTTCATGGTCCACACAATAAAAGAAGGATTGAGCCTTGGAAACTCAGCAGTTCTACTCTGCATGTATTGAGTGACCATAAGGCAGTGTTGACTCGATGGCAACTAGCAATGAGCCACCGAGAAAGAATGTGGCCACCAAGCTGGAGGTTGAGGGAGGTTAATGTAGGGGAACTGCCTTGAGGGGATAGTAGTTTAAAAGACGCTTAGTGCATGGCCTTAGATAGAGGCCACATGTGGCCTCTTGAATGTGGTCTGCTGCCTTGTAAAGCCCTCTCTGCTCAGCCCAGCAGACCCCCTAGGCCTTCCCAGATCCTATTTTCAGCCTCAGGCTTGGTCCTGGGGAAGTGAGGACTCAGCTGTTCTCTTCCCTGACTTCTTGGCCAAAGTGGAAACAATGGGGTCAGATCTGACCGCTCACCAGGAAACAGTAATAGCACTGCAGCAGGAAACACTATGGAGAGATGTGGGGAGTTTCGGCTCCAGCACTGCACATGGTCTCCATCTGGTCTCAGAATCTTTTGCTTCTCAAGAGGATTCAGGCCAACTGGTTACCACACCCACCCCAGGGCTAGCTGGGAGCCTGGCCTGCAGGAGAAGCTGGGATGGCTGACTGATCATCTCTGCACAACCACTGGGCACTGTCCATGGCTCTATCCAGCCCATGGAGGTGGACATAATATGGCAAGTGTTGTCAGAAGGAATTTGAATGGGATCAGTTTGGGAGGAGAGTAAATTAGACTCTGAGGCCAAGAGATCAGACCAATGATGTTTCTCTGTGGGCCAAGGCACCAGACCTAGGACAGAGATCCCACTAGGGCCCAGAGGCAGAGAGTCAGAACTGGCCAAGATCTCTGGCCCCAGGGAGCACTCAGAAGGAAGCCTAAGTTGCTGGGAATTGCTAGACTCTGGCCTCCTTCAGAACTAAGGTTTGGCCTGCACAGAAGGTGAGGTCTTCGTGTGCCAGGACTGAGGAGGTGCTGGGATCTGGCCAATACCCACAGGGCAGCACCACATATGAGAACCAGGAGATGATGCCAACTTGGCACCTCCTCCCTGCAGCCCGCTGCCCATCTCACAGGCATCCTCTCTCTCCAGGCAAGGGTCTGAGCTTTGACCACAGCTCCCTCTCTCACACAGCCTCCTTCTTTGGTGAGAACCACCTGGAGGTGCCTGTGGCCATGGCCTTGACTGACATAGACCTACAGCTGCAGTTCTCCACATCCCAGCCCGAAGCCCTATTACTCCTGGCCGCTGGCCCTACTGACCACCTCCTGCTGCAACTCCACTCTGGATACCTGCAGGTCAGTGACATCATTTTAGGGATGGGATTCCTTCCCTAGCTTTCAGTGACCTTTAACTGGCCATGTGACATTGTGCAAGTCACTTTCACCTTGGGGTCTCAGCTCTTACCGGCGCAATGGACAATTCCAACACCCCTGGAAGTATAACTCCTTCTCGAACTAACTGCCCTCCTGTTTGCTCCAACCTCGTTGCTTACTAGCCCCCTAGCCACTGATGCTGTAGTCACACTGAACTACTTGCCATCTTTCTATTCCTTCTGCCTGGTGCACGCCTCACCTGTTCCCTTCACCTGCTAAACTCCAGCCTCGCCTGGAAATCTCAGCCTGAGTATCATTTCCTCCAGGAAGTGTCTCCATGGCACTCACCTAGCTAGCTCCACTCTGCTGGGCTCCTGATACCCCCAGTGCACCTCTCTGGCACAGGAGCAGTCACCCTCTGTCTGTCAATGATGGGAACTGTGTAGTATTGCCACTGCTTTCTGTTCTATTCCATAGTTCATGTCACCACAAGCCTCAGTATCAAGGAGTCTTCTGGTTCCCTCTTGCACCTTCCTTCTACTCAGGAGTTTTGAAGATTCTGAGATTCTGTTGTTGTTCGTTCATTGAATTGTTGAGTTGATTTCAACTTAGAGTGACTCCATGTGTGCAAAATCCACCTGAAAACCATAGAGTTTTCAAAATGGACCTTTCCTGTCTCCCAAAGTACCTCTGGTAAGTCTGAACAGCCAACCTTTCCGTTTGTAGACCAGAACCACCCAAGGACTCCTCTGGGGTATTCAACAAAAACTCATCACCATCAAGTTGGAATCAACTCGTGGCTGACCCTTCAACAGGTTTTCAGAGACTTTATGAAGACAAGTGTGACATCAGGATCGGAGAAAGACTCATCAACAGCCTGGGTTATGCAGTTAAGACACCTTAATTGCTGAGAGTGAAGAAGACTAGAAGCACGTGCTGCAGAAGATCAAAGACTACAGCCTCCAATATGAATTACAGGGAGGATGGACAGGGGCAAATCACGGGTCACACAGTTTGATAGGTGGAGGGAGAGGACAATGGAAATGGGAAAGATCTGGCCAGACTCTAAAAAAGACAGGGTAATGGTGATTCTATGGTGATTAATTTTATAAAACAATGAATGGGAATGATTATATGAAACAAAATATGAATGAAGGATAGTGTGAAACAATGTATACAACTTTTGTATGCATACAATAGAAAATAAATTTTTTAAAAAAATATTAATTGCATCTCAACATCAAGAAAACAAAAATTATCACCACTGGGCCAATAGACAGCACCATGATTGATGGAGAAAAGATTGAAGTTATCAATGACTTCACCTTGCTTGGATCCACAAACACCACCCTTGGTTCCAGAAGTTAAGAAATCAAAAGATGAGTTGCATTGAGAAAATATGCTGTCAGTAACTTCTCTAGAGAGTTGTTGTTGTTGTTGTTGTTGTTGTTGTTGTGTCTATTGAGCTGGAACCAACTCATAGCTGACCCTCCAGCAGGTTTTAAGAGGCAGTAAATCACACAAGAGGGGAATGCCCATCCTTCTTCTATGGAGCAACTGGTGGATTTGACCTACATGGCTTTGGGATTGCAGTGCAGCTTCTTACCATTAGGCCACCAGAGCTCCCTATCTCTAGGGAGTAATGAAAAGTAGTGATGTTAGCTTAAACACTGAGGGGCACCTGATCCAAGCTGTGACTGTTGCAGTTGTTTGCTATGCATCTGAAAGTTGAGCAATGACTAAGGATGACAAAAAAATCGATGCCTCTTAAGTTGTGGTGTTGGAGAAGAGTGCTGAATATTCTGTGGACTGCCAAGAGAACAAACAGGTCTGTCTTGGAGAAAGTAAAACCAGAATGCTTCTTGGTAACAAGGATGGCGAAGCTTCATCTCCCACGCTTTGGGCATGCTGTTAGAGAGGCCAGTCCTTGAAGAAGGACATAGTGCTTGGAAAGATAAAAAGTAACATGTAAGAAAAGAAGACCCTCGACAAGACAGATTAGCACAGTGATTACAGCAATGGACTCAAGTGTGTCAGAGATGGTGAGAATGGCACAGGGATCATCAGATTCTTTGTTCATAGGGGTGGTATAAGTCGTAGGGGTGGTATAAGTCGTAGTACTCAATTCACTAGGACATAACAACAACAAGAAAAGTTCATGGGAAAGGAACTTCTTAGCCACTAGGGTCCTAATTTGAAAGCCATCTACTTTCATACCCCAGTAGGCACGGAGGTGTGGTCTACCAGTCTACAATTGCCATTGTGGCTTACTGCCATGAGGTGTCACTGTTGAGGACTGGCCAGGTATAGCCTGGCACTCATCCTGTTCTGCTCTCCAGGTGCAACAATGTCACACCCTAAGTAGAGGCACTTCATACTGGAACTCCCATCATCATGGTCCTTAGCACCCTCCTAGGACCCACACTCTCAGCCACCACCTGGCTGTGGGAGGACAGGCCAGAGCCAGTGCTGGTGTGTCATGGCACCAGGACCATGTCGCACCTTCCTCCCTTACCCAGGAAGCGCTTCTCTACTAAGCCTTCAGAGGAGAGTGTCTGACTGGACTCCCTGGCCCTGGCTGCCCCGAGGAACCTACTCTGGGGTTTCCCAGGTGCCCATCATTCCCCAGGCATAGGATCTTCTGAATTCCAAGGTGCCTGTCTAGCACTGCTTACCCAAGAAAAGAGTGGAAGAATGGGGGGGGGGGAATAGGAGTTGGAGCTGCAAGAGGGCAGAGGGCAACTTGTTACATGTCAGTTCCTTGAGGACAGAAGCCACATTTGATTCACATTGGGGTCCCCAGAGCCCATCTGGACCTGACACAGGTTGACTTTGAGAAGTATTTGGTATTGAATTAAAGGGAAACAGAAAGGAAAAAGGGGTGCCTTGAGGGGTCCTTTCACCAGGTCTTCTGCTTTGGGGGCTCCAAGTGTGGAGTTCTGAATATGATTTAAAAGAGAAGCAATGGCTTCAAGTGTGTCCCCATCCCCCATTGTCCCTGTCTCTCCTCAGGTCAGACTCGTCCTGGGCCAGGAGGATCTGAGGCTGCAGACCCCAGCAGAGACACTGCTGAGCGACTCCGTCCCCCACACTGTGGTGCTCACCGTAACAGACGGCTGGGCCACATTGTCAGTTGATGGACACCTGAATGCCACTGCCTCGGCCCCTGGGACTCCACTGGAGGTCCCCTATGGGCTCTTTGTGGGGGGCACTGGGAGACTTGGCCTGCCCTATCTGAAGGGAGCCAGCCGCCCGCTGAGGGGCTGCATCCATGAAGCCACACTCAATGGCCGAAGCCTCCTTAGACCATTGACCGAGGATGTGCACGAGGGCTGTGCTGAAGAGTTTTCAGCAGGCGACGACGTGGCCCTGGGCTTCTCTGGGCCCCACTCGCTGGCTGCCTTCCCTGCCTGGGGCACTCGGGATGAAGGTACCCTGGAGTTTACTCTCACAACAAGAAGCCAGCAGGCGCCCCTGGCCTTCCAGGCTGGGGGTCGACGTGGGGACTTCATCTATGTGGACATATTCGATGGGCACCTGCGGGCCATGGTGGAGAAGGGCCAGGGCACCGTCTTGCTCCACAACAGCGTGCCCGTGGCCGATGAGCAGCCACATGAGGTCAGCATCCACATCGATGCCCACAGGCTGGAGCTGTCTGTGGACCAGTACCCGACACGCACATCCAATCGAGGGGCCCTCAGCTACCTGGAGCCGCACGGCAGTCTCCTTCTGGGGGGTCTGGATGCTGAGGCCTCCCGTCACCTCCAGGAACACCGCCTAGGCCTGGCCCCTGGGGCTGCCAATGCCTCTCTCCTGGGCTGCATAGAAGACCTCAGCGTCAATGGCCAGAGGTGGGGGCTCCGGGATGCTTTGCTGACCCGTAACATGGCAGCGGGCTGCAGGCTGGAGGAGGAGGAGTATGAGGACGATACCTACACTCAGTATGAAGCCTTCTCCACACTGGCGCCTGGGCGTTGGCCGGCCATAGAGCTGCCTGAGCCCTGCCTGCCAGAGCCCGGGCTGCCTCCAGTCTTTGCCAACTTCACCCAGTTGCTGACCATCAGCCCCCTAGTGGTGGCTGAGGGCGGCACAGCCTGGCTAGAGTGGCGACACGTGCAGCCCACGCTGGACCTGAGCGAGGCCGAGCTGCGCAAGTCCCAGGTGCTGTTCAGCGTGAGCGGCGGGGCGAAGCACGGAGAGCTGGAGCTAGATATCCCGGGTGCGCAGGCCCGCAAGATGTTCACGCTGCTGGACGTGGTCAACCGCAAGGCCCGCTTTGTCCATGACGGCTCCGAGGACACCTCTGACCAGCTGGTGCTGGAGGTGACTGTGACGGCTCGGGGGCCGGTGCCCTCCTGCCTGCGCAGGGGCCAGACCTACATCCTGCCCATCCAGGTGCACCCGATCAATGACGCGCCCCGCGTCGTCTTCCCCCATGGCAGCCTCATGGTGATCCTGGAGCACACGCAGAAGCCACTGGGGCCCGAGGTCTTCCAGGCCTACGACCCGGACTCGGCCTGCGAGGGTCTCACCTTCCAGCTTCTTGGCAACCCCGCTGGCCTCCCGGTGGAGCGCCGGGACCACCCCGGGCAGCCAGCCACCGAGTTCTCCTGCCGGGAGCTGGAGGCAGGCAGCCTCGTCTTTGTCCACCGAGGCGGCCCCGCGCAGGAGCTGACCTTCCGGGTCAGCGATGGGCTGCAGGCCAGCCCCCCGGCCACCCTGAAGGTGGTGGCCGTCCGACCGACCATCCAGATCCGCCACAACACGGGCCTCCGCCTGGCTCAGGGCTCTGCCGCGCCCATCTTGCCCGCCAACCTGTCGGTGGAGACAAATGCGGTGGGGCAGGAGGTGAGCGTGCTGTTCCGAGTGACCACAGCCCTGCGCTTTGGGGAGCTGCAGAAGCAGGGGGCCGGCGGGGTGGAGGGGGCCGAGTGGTGGGCTGCGCAGGCCTTCCACCAGCGGGACGTGGAGCAGGGCCGCGTCAGGTACCTGAGCACTGACCCCAAGCACCGCGCCGAGGACACGGTGGAGAACCTGGCCCTGGAGGTGCAGGTGGGTCAGGAGACCCTGAGCAATTTCTCCTTCCCAGTGACCATCCAGCGAGCCACAGTGTGGCTGCTGCGGCTGGAGCCCCTGCACGCGCAGAACACCCGGCAGGAGGCCCTCACCACGGCCCACCTGGAGGCCACCCTGGAGGGCGCAGGCCCGGGCCCCACTTCCTTCCACTACGAGGTAGTTCAGGCCCCCAGGAAGGGGAATCTCCAGCTCAAAGGCAAGAGGCTGTCAGACGGTCAGGGCTTCACCCAGGATGACCTGCAGGCTGGCCATGTGACCTATGGGGCCACCACGCGGGCCTCGGAGGAGATAGAAGACACCTTCCGCTTCCGCGTCACAGCCCCACCACACTTCTCCCCCCTCTACACCTTCCCCATCCACATCGGTGGGGACCCCGACGCCCCCGTCCTCACCAACGTCCTCCTCACAGTACCCGAGGGGGGCAAGGGCGTCATCTCTGCTGACCACCTCTTCGTCAAGAGTCTCAACAGCGCGAGCTACCTCTACGAGGTCATGGAGCGACCCCGTCACGGGAGGCTGGTGTGGCGAGAGGCACAAGACCAGACCTCCACGGTGATGTCCTTCACCAACGAAGACCTGCTCCATGGCCGCCTGGTCTACCAGCACGACGACTCCGAGACCACTGAAGATGACATCCCGTTTGTGGCTACCCGCCAGGGCGAGGGCAGCGGTGGCATGGCCTGGGAGGAGGTCCGGGGCGTCTTCCGTGTGGCCATCCAGCCCGTGAATGACCACGCCCCAGTGCAGACAATCAACCATGTCTTCCACGTGGCCCGGGGTGGCCAGCGGCTACTGACGACAGACGATGTGGCCTTTAGCGACTCAGACTCTGGCTTTGCTGATGCTCAGCTGGTGTTGACCCGCAAGGACCTTCTCTTTGGCAGTATTGTGGCTGTGGATGAGCCCACGCGACCCATCTACCGCTTTACCCAGGAGGACCTCAGGAAGCGGCGAGTCCTGTTCGTGCACTCAGGGGCTGACCGCGGCTGGATCCAGCTGCAGGTGTCTGACGGCCAGCACCAGGCCACTGCCCTGCTCGAGGTGCAGGCCTCTGAGCCCTACCTCCGAGTAGCCAATGGCTCCAGCCTCGTGGTCCCTCAGGGTGGCCAGGGCACCATTGACACAGCTGTGCTCCACCTGGACACCAACCTGGACATCCGCAGTGGGACTGAGGTCCACTACCGTGTCATGTCCAGCCCACGCTGGGGACAGCTGCTCCGAGACAGCCAGCCAGCCACAACCTTCTCCCAGCAGGACCTGCGGGATGGGGCCATCCTGTACAGTCACAACGGCAGCCTCAACCCCCGTGACAGTCTCACCTTCTCTGTGGAGGCAGGGCCAGTGCACACAGAGGCCACCCTGCAAGTGACCATTGCCCTAGAGGGGCCGCTGCCCCCACTGCGCCTGGTCCAGCACAAAAAGATCTACGTCTTCCAAGGAGAAGCTGCTGAGATCAGAAGGGATGACCTGGAGGTAAGGAGGGAGTGGGGATAAAGGAACATTTCCATACACAGCCACCATGTATGGGCACGCGTTGGTGTGTTAGAAAGGGGCTGATTGATCTACGCCAAGAGTGTCTGCATGTCTTGGGTAGGTACCGTGTGTGTGTGTGTGTGTGTGTGTGTTGTGTGCATAAGGACTCCTCAGGAGTTTATATTTGTCCACTTACTATGTGCACAGATATACATATATGCAGTGGTTAAACATGCAGATGTCTGGGCCTCACCACAACACACAGAACTCAAAGAAGAGCCTAAGAATTGATATTCTAATAAGCTCCCTGAGAGGTTCTCATAGGTCCATAGCGTTGAGGACTTCTGGCCATGAGGTAGTCTTGACTGAACCCTCAAGTCCCTGTGTCCTCATTCTTTAAACCAAGACTGAGAGGATCTGGCAAGCGCTACTGACCCCTCAGGAGCCTCACAGAACACCTATAGGCTGCTAGCAGGGCTGTTCACTTATGTGACCGTAAGCCCATCCATGTCCTCTCTGAACTTCACCCTCCTGCTGATTTCTGAGATTCTTCTAGTTTTATCTCTGGACTTCGGGGCAAGATGTTTCTAAGTGTCAGGAAGTGTCTGCCTAGGAGGAAGGAGGCAGATTTGAGCTAAGCTTTGAAGAGGCTCAGATATCAATAGAAGAGAGTGAGGTCAGGTAGCTCTGGTGGCCTAGTGGTAAGAAGTTGCACTGAAATCCCAGAGGTGCGTGGTTTGAATCCACCAGATGCTCTGCTGGAGAAGGAGGGACAATCTCCTCCTGTATCAGTCAGAACCAATTTGATGGTACACACACACACACACTCTAAAATAAAATTTAAAAAAGAAGAGGGGAGTGAAGGTGGTGTCCAGTCAAAGAGAACAGTGCAGACAATGGAACGGAAGCATGATGTGAATTTAAGGGTGAATGTGTAGACTTTTGTGGCTGGACCTTTATGTTAGGGAGCCCCAGAAGCATTTGGCTGAGTTCCGAGAACTGTAGGATTTGCAGCTGAAAATGATGGGGCGCCCTCTGGTGGTGTTAGGTGGCAACAACAGGGCCAGAGAAGGAAGGATCCAGGCAAAACAAGCAGCTTGAATAAAAGGGACAGCTTCTAAGTGTGTAGTGTTTGCACACATGCGATATACATACATGTACACTCCCATACAAGAGTGTAGGGAATTCAGGTGGCCTAGTAGGTAAAGAGTTGCACTGCCAACCTTATGGAACATAGTTCAAATCCACCAGCTGCTCTACAGGAGAAACGTGAGATTTACAGCTTCTGAAAATCTGCCTGAGGGTCAGTCATGAATCAGTTCTAACTCCACAGCACACAACAACAACACAAGAGTGTGTGGTGAGATTGTATGTATGTGTCTCTGAGTCTGAGAATGGGTAATGTTCCTCTCCAAGATCATCTGGGCAGGTGGCTGTTAGCCTTTAAGTTCAGCTAGGTGTGTGGGACCCTGACTGTGTGTATGTCTAAGTGAACAAAGGCATCAAGCACATTCTGGTCACTAGGGCCTGGGACTGCCTCCTTCTGTGACCCCTGTTTTTCACCTCAACACCCTGTTAACCAGGCAGCCCAGGAGACAGTGGCGCCCAGCGACATTGTATTCTCAGTGAAGACACCACCCCGTGCTGGTTACCTGGTGATGGTGTCACACGGCGCCTCCTCCATGGACCAGGCACCCAGCCTGGACCCTGTGCAGAGCTTCTCACAGGAGGCAGTGGACGCTGGCCAGGTCCTCTACCTGCATTCACGCCTTGAGGCCTGGAACGATGTCTTCTCCCTGGACGTGGCCTCGGGCCTGGGCACTCCCATCGAGGGCATCCGGGTAGAGCTGGAGGTGCTGCCGGCCACCATCCCCCTGGAGGCACAGAACTTCAGTGTCCACGAGGGCGGCATCCGCACCCTGGCCCCTCCGCTGCTCCGCATCACGGGGCCCTATTTCCCCACGCTGCCGGGCCTGGGCCTGCAGGTGCTGGAGCCACCCCAGCACGGGGCCCTGAGGAAGGAGGAAGACCCTCAAGACGGCACCCTCCAGGCCTTCTCCTGGAGAGAGGTACGGCTGGCAGGAAGGTGCGATGTGCAGCCCAGCTCAGGGTAGGGACAGCTCCAGGGAGGGGTACAGTGGGGCGGCAGGGTGGGTCATGCTTATGGAGCACTTCTGTTGTGGAGACCTCATCTCGGTTCTCCCCCACAAGCACTCTGGGAAATAGAAATGATGCTTCCTGTCACCCACCTGTGGAAACTGAAGCTGCGGATGCAGAGGCAGGGTGGTGCCTACTGGGTCTGACCTCCAGCCCTGGGTCTTCCTGCAGGTGGAACAGCAGCTGATCCGCTATGTGCATGATGGGAGCGAGACACTGACAGACAGCTTTGTTCTGGTGGCCAACGCCTCCGAGATGAACCGCCAGAGCCATCCTGTGACCTTGACCGTCACTGTCCTGCCTGTCAATGACCAGCCCCCTATCCTCACCACAAACACTGGTCTGCAGGTGAGAGCATCCCAGGGACCACCCAGCTCCCGTACCAGAGGGAGGACCAGGATCCCTTACTTCCCAGCATATGACTCCCCCTTGCTAAGCTTCAGTCTCATCCTCCTTTCTAAAATGAGCACCCTGTTGCATGCCTCACTGGGTTGTTAGAGGAGAGAGGAGCTATTGCTGTGAATGCACAATTCAAGTACAAGGCTTATTATTTTACTGTTACTTGTTGTTGGACATTTGCAAGTGCTGTGGGCAGCCTTGTGAATGACCACACTGATGTTCCCTGGGCTTCCACATAGCCAGAGAGGTTTTCTCCTGTAGCTTGGCACTAGAATTCCTAGAGAAAATTATCTCAAGCCCTTAAGGGTGGGTTCAGGTAACAAGTTATTAAGATCCCCACCTCACCCCCCAGCAAATAAAGCCCACAGCTTAGCTCCCTAAGTCTCCACTTCTGATAACACTGCCAAGCAGGATTGCCTCCGCTTGACAGAGATGGAAGTGGAGACCCAAAGAGATGATATAATATCTCCAGGTCACAAAAGTAGTCACTTGTGGAATATAAAGAGTGTGGCTCGATCCTATCTACACAGTACAGCAGTGGGTAGGCAGGATCTTGAATGCTGGCCTTTGGGTTGTGAACTCCCTGGTCAGTGGCAGCCATGGAAAGTTTCAGAAGACTGTTTTAGGCTGTCTCTGCCTTGGGAGTCCAGGCGTCTCTGGTGGTATAAAATGTAGGAAGTACCGCAGAGGGTGGAGGGATCTGCAGAGATTGGGCACCAGTGGGCTTAAGGAGTCCCTGGACCTACCGGTCTGACCTGCTATTCAGAAACTCAGCCACCAGATGGTGGTGTCTACCCGTGTTTGGTCAAGGAGCCTGCGCGGAAGCCCCGCCTAATACATTCTCCTAGAATTTTGCCTCAAGTCCCTGTGGAGTTGGGTGTGGGATACCCCATGAATCCCACTAGGCTTCATTTTCTGGATATGGGATCCCCTGTGCCACACTGACCAAAAGTTGCTGATGCAACCGGAAGTGGAACACGGTCCAGCGTTGGATCCTGTCCTGCTGGCAGATAAACGGCATAAGGGGAATTTCGTTTCATTCTGTGCCTGCACCTTGGCACTCCTTATCCGCTTGCTTGGGGCCCAGGACTGTACTGGAAACCCCTGGCCCTTATCCCAGTACTGCTTCAGTGCTGTGATTGAGGAGCGCCTCAGCCTCCAGCGCCCACATCCTTCCCTCACCTGGAAGGACAGTCCATTTCTCAGTATCCCAAGCTGGGCTAAAATTAAAATTCCATTTGTGTGCTAGCCCATGCCCAGATACACTGCAGAGGAGCCCAAAGTGGACCCAGCCTTGCTGGGAAGACAGTGGACTAAGCACTGTTGGTTAGGACAAGGGTGTTTGGAAGATGAAAGCTGCGTCTTCTGGACATGGAGACTGGCCTTGAGGCAGAGACAGGACCAAGGCAGGTGGTGAGGAGGGTGTTTAGGGGAGCCCTAGCATAACAGGGAAGTGGAATAGCATTCAGGGGGCTCTTCAATGACATTGGCCCCAGAAGCACTGTTGAAGCCGATGACAGTTCTAGGGGCCAGAATCTTCACAGGCCTGTGTCCCTAGATATGGGAGGGGGCCACTGCATCCATCCCCCCGGAGGCCCTGCAAGGAACAGACAGAGACACGGAGCCCAGGGACTTGGTCTACACCATCAAGGACTCCAGCAATGGACGGGTTGTGCTGCGGGCAGCTCCAGACACTGAGGTCCAGAGTTTTACCCAGGCCCAGCTAGACAGCGGGCTTGTGCTGTTCACACACAGAGGTGGGTGCTGAAAGGGGCCCCCTGCTTGTTTCTGCAACCTAAGGGGGGGTGCGCCGAGGGAGGGCAGCTGTCCAGGGGCTGCATGGCCCAACTCCACCTCATCCTCAGGAGCCCTGGATGGAGGCTTCCACTTCGACCTCTCGGATGGTGAGCACATGTCCCCTGGACACTTCTTCCGTGTGGTAGCCCGCAAGCCGCTGCTTTTGACCCTGGAGGGCAGCAGGACCCTGACCGTCTGCCCAGGTGGGTCCACCTTGGTACTCCCACATGACAGGGAGCTGGAGGGCTAACAGAAAGCACACCACAGCTACACCACCTTCCTGACATCCATGGCCTTGCTCAGGCTCCCAGTCAACGGCTGACCGGCTCTCTTTGTCTCTGGCAGGATCGGTCCAGCCCCTCAGCAGTCACAGTCTGAGAGCCAGCTCCAGCGAAGGCACAGACCCCCGCCACCTGCTCTACCATGTGGTGCGGGGCCCGCAGCTGGGCCGACTGTTCCATGCCCAGCACGGCAGCACAGCAGAGGCGCTGGTGAACTTCACACAGGCTGAGGTGAGGGCCAACACTCTGCTGGGAGCCTTTGTCAATGGATATCTGGGAAGCAGGAGGATATAGAGCTCAAGATCCAGCCCACTGACCCCACCTTAACCCAGAGCCTTGCCCACCCCGGCAATATGAAGGACCAGTCAAATGGCCACCAGGGGGCCAGAGTGACAGAGTGACCTGGAGAGGCTGGGAAGAGTGTGGCAGACACACACCCCAGGGTGGAAGAGGCAAGGCTGTGGGGTGTATCTCAACAGCCCCATTGTCCCACAGCACTGTGAGCCTCAGCAGGGTAGGGACCATTGGACCCATTTTGCAGATTAGGAAACAAGCTCACAGAGATCAGGTGACTTCATTCAGTGCAAGAGGGCCGTTAGGGATCTAACAATCTGATGGCTCATCCAGAATTTCTTTCACCAAAAGGTTCTGCTTGCTCCACTGGAGCTGGGGGACCCTCCTAACCTCGTCATGTTGTTCCTCACAAGACCACACACACCCCGTAGGTCTCATCGCACCCCCTCCACTTCAGAGAATCCTGATTTCCTTCCTGCCCACCCGTCAGCCTGGGTCAGAGGTTACAAACCACAGTGCTCATGGGCCCAAACAATGCTCTATGTTTACAATTAGCCCGTGTTCCCACTTAATGGCAGTTAACTGAGGAGCCACCACTGCCTTTTAGACCAGGCCCTATGGTCCCCTTTAGAGCAGGTGGGTTGCGGTCAGTCCCCTTTCCATCAGGAGTCCTGCTCCCCCTGAGGGCCCCATCAGACCCCACTGCTTCTTGACTTGCCTACATGTTATGACCCCAGGAAGCTCCCTTCTTACTATTGCGCAAGTCTTGTTTTTCCAAGAGAAAGAAAGCAGTTCTCTGTGTCTCCTGAAAAGGAGAAAACAAAAGACAAGCCAAGGGGACATACTTTGCCTAAAAGGAGGAGGAAACATCTTTCTCCCTAGAGGGGAAGATTAGGCCTAGAGGACAGGAAGTGGGGTTCAGCTGGCCAGGGGAGAGTGCAGGAGGTGAGGAGGGGAGCTCTCTAGGTCAGAAAAGGTGAACCTCGGTCAAGGGAGTAGCGTGACCTCACATCTTAAAAGACTCGCTCTGTTGAAAACAGACTATAGTGGGAGAGAAGGGCCAAAGCTGAGAGACAGTGAGAAAAAAGCTGAGGATGAGTGCAAGGTTTTTGTCAGAATTGCTGCAACGATGCAGCTGCCATGGACCCAAGCAGGGAAAGCTGTAGGAGGCGAGAAGTCTGGGAGTCCCAGGGCATGTTGAGTGTGACCATTTGCTCAGAGCTGAGGAGGGGCAGGGTCTGTGTAGGGCTGGACTCTGGAGATTAGATAACCCCTGGGATGGATGGTGGTAGAGCCCTGAGGCTGGCTGAGGTGTATGGAACCTGCTGCTTAAGAAGGAAAAGCGGGAAGTCCATGTGATATGATGCTGGAAAGAAAGGGGGAACGAGAGCCTGGAGAAGCTGCCAGCACGTGAACAATGAGAGTGGATAACTTGGAAGCAGGGAGGTCCTGGGGCTAGGAGGGGTGGCAGACACCCAGCAGCGCCACACAGCGGGGGACACCAAACAGACCACCACATCCAGTAACATGGTGGTGCTGTGGGTGGGCTCCTGGGAGCAAAAGCCTGGAAGGATGCTCTCTGGACAGTGCAGGAGGACAGTGCTGGAGGACAGGGTGGACTCTTCTTCAGAGGAAGCATGCTTCACAGGAGAAAAAAAAAGGAGTCTAGCTGAGAGACATTTAAGTCAAAAGAAGTGTTATCTTTCAAATGAGAGAAAGAACGGCAGACTGCTGGGAAGGGGTCCTAGTGGTACAGTGGGCAAAGCACTGAGCTGCTAACCATAAGGTTGGTTGTTCAAACCCTCCAGCTGCGCTGAGGGAGAGAGATGAGGCAGTCAGCTTCCATTGACGGCCTTAGAAACTATGAGGCAGTTCTCCACTGCCCCGTGGAGTCAGGTGTCCAAATCGACTTGACAGCAGTGGGAGTGGGCATATGGATGGAGGAAGCCCTGGGAAGTGCAAACTGTTGACACTTTCATCTGCTACCTGAAAGGTCAGAGGTTGGTGTCCACCCAGAGGTGCCTCAGAAGAAAGGCCTGGTGATCCACTTCCCAAAACCCCACCACTGGGAACCCTGTGGAGCACCGTTTCCCGTGACACGCATGGGGTTGCTGTGAGTCAGAACTGACTCAGTGACCACTGGGGTGTGCGTTATGCTCACTGGAATGATCCGTTAGCCAGGGACACGGATGCCTGAGGAGACAAGGGAGTCCATGGACAGTGGTGACACGTCAGCAGGCAGGACAGAATGAGACCCAGAGCAAAAGAGGAAACTTGACTTTAGACAGAAGCACAAGCAAATGACTGCTCTGCCAGAGGCTTGATATGGGGATCTGCCCAGGTCACAAAGCTGGGAGCTGAACTCTGGCAACTGCCTGCAGAGCCCGGTCCTTCACTGCCTTGCTGCTGAGGGGACTCCGTGAGCAGTGAGGGGCCCAGCCGTTACAGACTGGAGCTGGGCAAAGCCAAGAGCCGGGGCCTGGGGCAGGGTGGTGGGGGCTTGTCAGGGAGGCAGGGGCCCAGAGCTGGTGCTGGCCTGGGAGGAAGCTGCTCGGCCTGCCTCCCGCCCCCAGCAGAGGCGTTTTCTTTCAGGTGTCCGATGGGAAAGTTCTGTATGAGCATGAGATGCCCCCTGAGCCCTTCTGGGAGACCCACGACACCCTGGAGCTGCTGCTGTCCTCGCCTCCTGCCCCCGATGTGGCTGCCACCCTCACTGTCACCGTGTCCTTCGAGGCTGCCTGTCCTCAGCGCCCTAGCCGCCTCTGGAGGAACAAAGGTGAGCAGTGTGATGAGCAGGTGAGGTTGGAGGGACACCAAAGTGGGGGGGGGGGCCAAAGAGGAGATGGGAGAGCTGGTCAGTGGCTCCTACCTCCAGTCCCCAAGACCTGAGCTATGGGTGGAGGTCCCAGAGAAGACACAGTCGCACCATCCTGGGAGCTTGGTCTGAGAGGAGACCTCCAGGCCTGGTCTGTGGGGGAGCACAGTCCTGCCCTGGCAGCCACATCTGAGGGTCCATGGCCCAGCCCTGGGGACTGGATCTCCACAGCCTGTGTCTCACCCCCAGGTCTCTGGGTCCCTGAGGGCCAGCGGGCCGAGATCACCGTGACCGCCCTGGATGCCTCCAACCTCCTGGCCAGCGTCCCACCGTCCCAGCGCCCTCAGCATGACGTGCTCTTTCAGGTCACACAGTTCCCCACCCGGGGCCAGCTGTGGGTGTCCAGGGAGCCCCTGCACGCCGGGCAGCCCCACTTCCTGCAGTCGGAGCTGGCCGCTGGGCAGCTTATATATGCCCACGGTGGAGGGGGCCCCCAGCAGGACAGCTTCCGCTTCCGCGCCCGCCTGCAGGGCCCTGCGGGGGTCTCGGGGCCCCAGACCTCAGAGGCCTTCATCATCACGGTGCGGGATGTCAACGAGCGGCCCCCACAGCTTCAGGCCTCGGGCCCGCTGCAGCTCACCCGGGGCTCCCGGGCCCCCGTCTCCCGCGCCCAGCTCAGTGTGGTGGACCCAGATTCAGCTCCCGGGGAGATTGAGTTCACAGTGCAGCGGGCACCCCACAATGGCTTCCTGAGCCTGGCAGGGGGCGGCCCGGGGCCAGTGACCCGCTTCACGCAGGCCGACGTGGACGCGGGGCGGCTGGTCTTCACGGCCAACGGAAGCAGCGTGGCTGGCTCCTTCCAGCTGAGCGTGTCCGACGGGGCCAGCCCACCACTGTCCTTGACCCTGGCCGTGGACATCTTGCCCTCCACCATTGAGGTGCAGCAGCAGGCACCCCTGGAGGTGCCCCAAGCCTCGGGCCGGGCCCCGCTGAGCCGGCAGCAGCTCCAGGTGGTCTCTGACCGGGAGGAGCCGGACGTCTCCTACCGCCTCACTCGGGGCCCCCAGTTCGGGCACCTGTTAGTCAGGGGGCAGCCGACCACAGCTTTCAGCCAGCTCCAGGTAGACCAGGGCCAGGTGGTCTTTGCCTTCAAAAACTTCTCCTCCCCTCATGACTGCTTCGGTGTCCTGGCCCTGGCCCGGGGGGCTAACACCTCAGCCATGGTCAATGTCACCGTGAGGCCACTGCTGCGCATCTGGACGGGTGGTCCCTGGCCCCAGGGTGCCACTGTGCGCCTGGAACCTGCCATCCTGGACGCAGGCGAGCTGGCCAACCTCACGGGCAGTGTGCCCCGCTTCCGCCTCTTACAGGGCCCCCAGCATGGCCGAGTGGTCCGTGTACCACGGGCCCGGGTGGGGTCCAGGGATGACCAGCCTGTGGAGCAGTTCACCCAGAAGGACATTGAGGAGGGGCGGCTGGGGCTGGAGGTGGGCCGGCCCCCAGGTCCCACAGGCGACAGGCTCACTCTGGAGCTGTGGGCACAGGGGGTCCCACCTGCTGTTGTCTCCCTGGACTTCGCCACTGAGCCTTACAATGCAGCGCGGCCCTACCACGTGGCCCTGCTCAGTCTCCCCGAGGCTGCTCGGACAGAAGCCGGGAAGCCAGAGAGTGGCACCCCGACGGGCATGCCGGGCCTGGCAGCATCCAGCGCCGTGCCCACCGTGGCCAGGGCAGGCTTCCTGGGCTTCCTGGAGGCCAACATGTTCAGCGTCATCATCCCCGTGTGTCTCATCCTCCTGCTCCTGGCCCTCATCCTGCCCCTGCTCTTCTACCTCCGCAAACGCAACAAGACTGGCAAGCACAACGTACAGATCCTGACAGCCAAGCCCCGCAATGGCCTAGCTGGGGACACCGAGACCTTCCGCAAGGTAGAGCCAGGCCAGGCCATCCCGCTGACCACAGTGCCTGATCAGGGAGCCCTGCCAGGTAGCCAGCCTGACCCAGAGCTGCTGCAATTCTGCCGGACACCAAACCCTGCCCTCAAAAATGGCCAATATTGGGTGTGAGGCCTGGCCTGGGCCCAAATGCTGACCGGGCCCCGGGCCCCACTGCTCCCGGGCCCTGGGAGCAAGAGACACCTGGTGAGGCTTGGGGTGGAGAAACTGGAGGTGATCCCAGGGGTCCAGGATAAAGTGGGACCAAGAAGTGAGGTCTTCTCACTCACTCCATGTCTGAGAACTTCATGGTTTGAGGCAAGAGGCAGGCTTGAGATCAGCCCCCACTCTGGAGTTGGTTAGAGCTGTCAAAACAGGTTGCCTCCCACAAGAGTCAGGGCAGCGGGGAAGTCATATCCAGGTTACCAGGAGGCCGAGGAGAAAGTACTTGAAGGAGGAAGAGGTTAGATTTGAGAACTGCTGGTCACCCTTGTCTTTGCACAAGGTTGAGGGGAGAGTTCTTTCCCCCTGATTTTTCAGGGAGAGGGGAGTACCTGGAGCAGTAGGCAGGAGAGAACCCCTGGCTCTCTAGAAGGCATTAGCCAGTAGAATAATATATTCAGGGTGGGGTGGGTTGCTCTGGGCTGGGTTTATTTAAGGGAGGTTGCAGAGAAGCTATTTAATTTGGTGCTGAGCTGGCTGGGACTAATGGAGCCCCTGAGGGTGTGTGGGACGATGGCACAGCAGAGGCCACTGCATCCTCAGGACCACGCCTTGATGGACTAAGGGATGGGTGAGCATCATTCAGGGGCTCAGAGTGGGTTGGACGTGCAAGGTCTCCGAAAGGGCCACCACGTGCTGTGCACCCTAAGAGCTGGGAGCAGTGGTCAGGGGCACTTGGCTCTGTGGGGCCTCGATAAACAGTGCTTCAGGCTCTGAACACAGTGTTGTCTGTGTCTGCACTGAGATCCACTGTCACCTCACTCCTTACCCCAACATCCTGAGGGCTCTCCTGCTCTCCCTGGGCAACCATCCCACCGGCCTCAGCCAACAGCCCGTGTGGGCAGGTGGGGCAGTCTTTGATAGGCTAGGTCTTCTATAAGGAGCTCAGAAAGATAAAACCAAGAGAGAGGCTCCCAGCCCTACCGTTCTTTTCTTGAGGTTTTAGCCTCCACAGCACAGTCCCAACCCTGCCCCTCCCCCACTCAAGTGGTCAAAATAGCAAAATTAAGACAGTCATGGGGGGATAGGGGCCCTGAAACTGAGAGGACCCACAGGACCAGAAGAGCCACAAAACCTCACTCCCCTGGCTCCCTGGAGATGTTGACAAGAACTGTTCAGCTGAGAGGAACCCTGGTGGCACATCAGTTAATGAAAACGTTGAGAGTTCAAATCCCACAGCTCCAAGAACAAACACCTGACACTCTGTTTCCGTAAAAAGTCCAGCCGAGGAAACCCGATGGGGCTATTCTATTCCATCACATGGGGTCAATGTAGTCAAGCACCTAGTAATAGTTGCTGGCACTAGTCAGCTGGGAGGACACAGAGCAGCCAGTTCCTGGAAGGTGGTTGGGGTCCACCACGCAACCCCAGATGGGCTGTGAGACTGCTCACCTCTGGAAGATCCAGTGGCTGAGCTCACTCCCAGGCCCTTTCCCTTCAGGGTTGGGAACAGTGGGGATACATTTCTCGGAGACTCCAGCATGTCATGAGAGTGAAGTCTTTGGGAAGAAGCAGAAGTGCTAAGTTCTGGGGAAAGTAGAAGGGGGAGTTTGGGGGACTGAGCACAGCCAGCCATTGGGAACTGACCTGCCAGAGGCCAGACCCTGGTTCCCCTACATTCCAAAACCTGCAGCATCTGAAGCAGAAACTAGCATAAGTGAGATTCTCTCTTTTCCACTGTCCTGGGCCTGGACCACCCTCTCTTGTCTCAACATTGGTCTCCTAGGTCTTCCTCACACTACTGTTTGTGTCAGGAAACCCAAATCCCAGTATATCCTTGCTGAAAGGACCCGCCCCCCTCCATAGACCATGGGGAGACTGAGACGCTGACAAGAAGAGAAGGCTGCCTGGGAAGGCAGAGCAGAGCTGCCACACCAGAAACTGCAGCTCCTCAAGGAGGTGGCCAGGCTTCCCCCTCAGGCTTCCGGATCTCTGACCCCAAGGCCCTCCACAAGCAGAGCTCTCAGTCCTCGTTCCACTTATCTACAACAAGCCTGGGCCTCCTACACCTCATCCAGGACCTAGAGACCTAGCAGGGCTGTCTCTTCACCATGCCTCTCTTTCTGCCCTGCCTCCCAGAAAAGCTAGGGGCTAAATCCCTAAGGTCGTAATATCTGGGGCCAGTCTCCATCCAGGGCAACCAGTTTCCCTGGAAGTATAAGCCGAGATGAGGGAGACAGACTCACCAGGCAGGATCTGGCCTCATCTCGGATTTCCCCCAGAGGGCTGACGACACCCTCTCTGTTCACACGGCCTGCCCTGCCCCCAGTACGCTGGCACCAGTCAGCACGGCTCCAGTGTCTTCTCTGGCCTAGCTGGCTGATGAGCTGGCACTAATGCCAGGATCTGAGAGAGGGTCTTTCAATGGCTCACTCTAGCAGAGGAACCACCCGAAAGCTGTATGTGTAACCGCCTAACAAAATAATTCATCTCCTTCCATTAAAGAGCCCACTCCTCTCAGACAATGAAGTTAAGAACCAACCTGTATACAAGTAAATATTCAAGAGTCGTTAGTCTTCCCTGGTTCTCCTCACTCACACATCTGTGCGCACAGCCCTGGATATGAACACAGGCTCATATGTGCCCCTCAGGCAGTACAACAAAGAAATAACTAATTGCCTATGTAATATATACAAGCTCTCTGGTGGTCTAGTGGATAAGGAGTTGTACTGCCAACCAAAAGGCAAGTGGTTCAAATCCACCAGCAACTCCAATAAAGATGGATAAACTCTTGCTATGTGATGTATAGCCTCTGAAAACCCACTGGAGGACAAGCTAGGAGTTGGTTTCAACTCAATGACAGTGCAGTTGAGTTGTGCATAATATGCACATGCACTTAGAGAGATGCACATACAAATTTCAGGACATGGTTCTCCTCACCCATGATCCTCCCACAGCCCCAGGCTCTGGAAAGAACCAGGAGCTCCTGCCCAGCAATGGGCCCAGGTTGGTGTTAACACAGTAGGAAACCTGTAAGTGGACCCATCCAGGCAATGGGGGCAAAAGTGAGGCCCGTCAAGAAGGTGGCCAGTTGCAAGGAGCTGCAACTACAATCCCAGAGGCGCACGGTTCGAATCCAACCAGCTGCTCTGCCAGGGAAGGAGGGACAATCTCCTCCTGTACCAGTCAGATCTGATTTGACGGTACACGCACCCAAAAATAATAAAATTAAAAAAAAATAAATATATAAAAAGAAGAAGATGGTCAGGGCCACACAGACTTAGGGAGTTCTGTGCCCAAGTCCTCTCAAGTTCCTCCCCAGCCAGAGCTCCCAACCATTGCCCCACTTTCTCTATAAGCCCTGGAGTTCCCTGCACTTCCTACAGGGACTCTGCCAAGAGTTTGTCCAAGTCACACTCCCCATTCTGTCCTGCCTCTCTGAGGAGCCAGGGTCCCCAGTCCCCAACTTGGAAGGGATGTTTAGTTTTGCCTATAGCATCCATTTCCTAAAAGACATGCTTCCAGAAACTCTATGAACTATGATAAATGTCGATAGTTGTGGAGGGGCTTCAGGCCTTTTGTTCTGTGCTCCACTTGAAGGCAATCAGCAACAACATTACATATTAAAGAGGAAACCAAAAAGTGACACAGGAATGTCTCCTCATCCTGAGAGCCCCTGGTGACACTATTAACTGGAAGGTCCAGGTGGGCAGTCGGGGCCACTCATTGCTCTGAGGGATGAAGATACTGCAGGTTACTTCCAGAAAAAATACAATCTTGGAAAACATTTGGGGCAATCCTACTCAGTGCCAGGTGTAAGAACACCAACTGGATGGCATCAGGTTTGGTTTTCCCCTTATCCTAGAAGCTAACCCTTTAAGTGTAGCTGCTACAGTAACCATTGAACCCACAGAGCTGGAGTCATCATCTTCCAAAAGGGAGCCACTGAAGTGCTTCCAACCACCTCTCCTGACCACTGGGAGCCTCACAGATGCTGGCCTCTTCTTCTGGGCTCTGAAACGAAAAAATACTAAGTCACTGTCATCAAGTGGGAACCTACCCACAGCTGATTCTCAGCGAGTTTTAAAGGGGTTTTACCTAGGCAGCATCCTGGAGTTCTCAGCTTGAGTCTCCTGTTCCTGATCATAATATATGACAGAGTCCTGGCTAGTGGGCCATCCTGGATATAAACCAGGCTCAATGGACCAGAGGGTCCAATGGTCCAATTAGAAGGAGGTTCCACTGCCCCTGTCCTAGCCTAGGTCTACCCTAAGTAATACCTCCTTAGCTAATGTCATCCTTGTGTAGTTAATAACATCTTGTGTCTAAAAACAATGGGGATGGCGAGCTCTGGTGGCCTAATGGCAAGAAGCTGCACTGCAAACCTAGAAGTATGCAGTTCGAATCCACCAGATGCTGTGCTGGAGAAGGAGGAAAAATCTCCTCCTGTACCAGTCAGATCTGATTTGACGGTACACACACACAAAATAATAAAAATAAAATTAAAAAAAATAAAAACAATGGAGATGCAGATGGGAACCCATTCAGTGAAGAACCCAGACATGCCTTAGAGTAACTACAGACTGTAGCCCAGTGATGTGAGCTATTCAGGGAGGGGCAGCCCGGAGTGATGCCTCTCTCCCTGGGGAGTGCTGGGCTTTTCCATGGAATCGGCAGCTGTGCAGGGCCAGAATTGAGCAAGCTCAGCTACCTCCTGGTTACATTCTCCATTCTCAGTGTAATCAGTTACAGTATTTCATTGACAGCTGTTGTCTTCATTAAGGGCTTTTAACTCATGTCAGAACTAACAGCTCCTAGCTGACCCTCCAGTGAGTTTTCAGAGATTGTCCATCTTTTTCCTCCAGAACAGTTGATGGATTTGAACCACCTCCCTTTGGGTTGGCAGCACAACTCTCTACCTACTAGGCCATGAGAACTCCTTTTAACGGCATTAGCATCTCGGATAACCA